GGGGGCTGCACACGCTGCCTCAGTTTCCAAAGGCACTGCGTTGAGCCCTGTGCGTGTGGGGCCCTGGCTGGGGGCACCCCGAGGGGTTTTCCCTCCTTGTCCCGCTCCAGCAGGGCTCCTCAGCCGCGGGGCCCCTTTTTCAGGGGACGCCGGCCCAGCGATGCCGGACGACTCGTACAGGGTGTCCTCCGATGCCCCAGGGCAGGCCGGCGCCTCGCAGCGGCCCCGCCGCATGCTGCGGGGTGTCGGGCACCAGCGCCTGCCAGCGCCGCAGACTGTGAGAAAGCAGCAGAGAGAGAAAATTTCACAAGTCGTCATCAGCGTCGTCACAAGACTTCATCGGCGGTCTTTTGGGGGCTGCTGGTGCCCCACAAATGAACCTTTTCCAGTGTGCTCTGAAGAAATTGCAACTCTCAACGCCGTAAATGTGTATTCACAGATAGTAGATACTGCATTTAAACAGCATTTGGATTTGTTATCACGTATTGTAATGTAAGAAGTGAGGGCTTCTCAGACCTCTTCCAGGGGTCACCTGCCCTCTCCTGCAAGTCTTCCTAGGCGGCCTCAAGGCGAGAGGAGGAATGTTAGGCTGTATTTTTCACAGGCGTTAGGTGACAGATGAATAATGTATCGTGTGGTCCCATTTCAGCGCCCGCTCAGGACTTTTCCCTGTGGGCATATGCTGCCTTTTACTACGGCTCCTCTGCAAGGATGTCAAAGGCAAAAGGAAAGGCCGGGCCTCAGTATATGGTGGAAGTAAACGGGCATAAACCAGAGCGGTGGAAGAGGTAACGCATGGGGATGTGCAGATGAAGACTACTTTTGCCTTCCTGCAATAAGAAAGAGCCACCCAGATTTATTTCATGTTGCCCACGTGTCTTTCGGGGGCATTTAGTGCACGCAGGCCCCCAGAAGGACCACCCTGGGCGGATAAAACACCTGCAGAGCCGGCCGTGACGGGACGAGGGTGGGTTATGGGGGAGAGGACTCCAGCAGGTGTCACTCGCACTCAGCAGAGAGCATCTGCTGGAACGATGCTTCTCCATTAGCCTGACCTCTAGAGGTTTTAAATCATATCATTCAGGTTCGTAAAATAGTGTTAGGTTTTGTTGTTCAGTGTGCTGAATCTGGAAAGCAAAGTGATACAGCAGTAAACAGGGAGCAGCCATCCACCGCTGTTTCTGACAGGTCAGCCCGGACCCCGGATTTCCTAGCTATTAAATCTCCATCCCACAGAGGACTGTTAGAACGGATCAGAGATGATGAAGACTAAATTAAGGACGCTGAAGGGGGCCCACAGGGCTCCTACATAAACACTGAACTACTAATCTCTGCAGCTTTTACTTCTCTTAGGTCACAGGGTCTTATTCCACATGCTTCCCTCCTGCCACTGCAGGCTTCTTGCATTATAATCTGTAGGGTTTGTGTTACCTGGTATTAAATGAGTTGAGGCATGGGACCTCTGTGGTCTCAAGAGATACGGTACTCTCTAATGCGTCTTACTCAGAGGCTGGTCTACACGTCTAGCTTCAGCCTCTATTTTACTGAAATTAATTTATTTACATTGAATAGCGCCCTCCCATAACATAAAAAGAAGAAGGAATAGGTTACTGCCTGTTTTTTTCTTTTACTTATTAACAGAAAGTAGGATTAGGAAAGTATAGTGTGCCTGATCACTTGAAGAAAGGGTTCCAAATTTATTCCCTGTTAAATGAGTTAAAAATCCTCTTATTAAATTAGTCTTTATTTTATTATTGGACTTTACCGGTAACTGTCTTTTTATTGCTGAAGTGTCCCCTGATGAACTACTATGTGGCCTTTTTACAGTACTGGCATAAAAGCATGCTTCAAACTTGCTTCCCTCATTCTTGCGAGGCAACCTATTGTTTTAAATAGGATTACTCATGCAAGGCAGATTAATTCACCTACAGGAAAAAAAGCCGATGGCGGGTGCCTCATTTTAAGGAGTTCCCTGCAGAGCAGAAGAGCACATAGAGTTGCTCAAACTACTTATAGCAAGATCTGGGGAAATTGGGTTTGTTAGGGTAGGAATGGAAGTCCGTAACAAGGATACGTCTCCAATGCGATTAGGGACAGCAGTGACCTAAACCTTGGCCTGAACTGCCCGCTCTGGTAGAGCGAGAGAGGAGCAGTGCTGTTGCCTTTATGCCATCTTAATCCTGAACCAAAGAGGAAGAGTTAAATGTTTTCTAACCAGTCTGTCTCCCCCCGAGATGTGGGGGAGGTTTTGCAGCACACGTTTCCTCCCTTTGACCCGTGGTGCTGGCCAAAATTCAGGGTCTTGTTGGTTGATCCAGATTGGAGGAGGAGGAGTGATGAAGAAGGGTATTTCTGATGTATTTCTGATTGCTTACAAGAGTGCTCGCAGCCCTCCTTTCCTGAACACAGAAGAAATCACGCAGTTGAGAGCCAGTTTCCTTGCTTGTAGCTCCAGACCTGCTCCAGGCAGCAATGTGACCCCAAATCCCTGTTTCTTGTATTCGGTCCAGGTTTTATATCAATGATTGTTCAGGCCGTTTGAAGTTTCCGTTCCCTGCCTGTTTCAATATACTGTCTTTCTGTCTCCTCCTCCACCTGAACTGTATTGTCCATCCACACATAACCTTCTTTCCTTTTAATATCCTACCCGAAACTGTCCTCCCAGAGCCTTCAGGTACTTGAGCAATCTTGCATTGTGGGTGGAAATAGACTTAATGTCTCCTTCAGCTACCCTAAATAAAGGAATGCAGTTAAACCTACCAGTTTCAGGAAGGTTTAGCCCAACCTATAAGAATAAAAGCCTAATGGAGTGTTGCCCTGAGGTTTTCATCTTACTGAAGACCCCTCTAGAAAATGCTGTGAAGTTTATAAGTAATGGCATGGAAATAATAGGGAGTACAGAATTCAGAAAACCCAGACTATTTTGCGAAGGACGTCAATAGATACGAAAGAGGTCTCCTTTTTCCGGTAGCAACCCTAACACATAATATTTCAGCTTTCAGACCAAAGATTCAGTTGTGGCCTGAAAAGTTAAGTAACACTCTTCATTAAAGCTGCTGAAAAGGAGAAGTAAAAAGCACAACACAACCTCCCTCAGACTGTAAGATCTTAGAGGCTGGGATCATTTTTTCATTCTCT